TAAAAGAATTTACTTGATAGTCAATGCTTTTCTTCACTACGCCCATGGTTTTTTTATCATTTTGTTGTTGAAAATAGCTATTGGAGCGTTTTTTTGTAGCATAAAAGTTATTTCTTGAAGAAAGATAAGGAAATATCTCGTACTTATTTTAAATAGGAATTTAGTTCATAGTTTGCGATTGATTTGACCAAAGCTTGTTGCTAAAATAACTTGTAACGCTGTATTACATAAATTAACCACATGGTATATTCCACAGCAGAAAGAGTTCAAATTATCGAAATACTTTTCGGAAATAACCAGTGCGCTAATAGAACAGCAGAAATATTTAATGAGCGACATGAAAACAGTAACGTGCATCGAAAATATGTTCTGTAACTTGTAGCTAAATTTCGGGAAACTGGGTCAGTCGTCAATAAGAAACGCAACATCTAAAATCCCATAAGGAACGAAGCAATAGAAGTGGGAGTTTTAGGGCAAGTTTATGTAGACCCTACGTTAAGTACCCGCAAATTGGAGACTGTGTGTGGTGTTATTCGACGTACTGTCCAACGGATTCAATTATATAAAATATAAAATTCACCTGGTACAAGAACTTAATGAAGACGATTTTGATCGGCGATTACAATTTTGTGAAGATATGAGTGAACGAATTATAAACGATGAACATTCTCTATTCAACACTTGCTTTTCCGACGAATGTTCCTTTTTCTTAAATGGCGTAGTAAATCGTCATAACTGCCGATATTGGTCCGATTCTAATCCCAGAATTTATCATGAGGTTCATACACAGCAGCCACGAAAATTAAATGTTTGGGCTGGTATTTTTGGCGATCATTGGTCCTACTTTCTTACCTGGAAATTTGACCGGTGAAATGTATTTGGAATTACTGGAAGACGCGATAGGTCCTGCATTAACAGCCATAATTGAAAATCAGAATGATCGGCGGTACATTGCGAATAGGTTGATGTTCCAACAGGATGGTGCCCCACTACATTACGCATTAGGTGTTCGACAATATTTAGATCAGATGCTTCCAGGTAGATGGATTGGTAGAAGAGGTGCCTTTATTATTGCATGGAGAGTCATGGTGGCCATTTTCAACATTTACTTGCCTAACGGGTCAGTTCAGTCTTCATTTTTAAATTACTTTGATGCCAAATGTATCCATCTCCACTAATGATGATGTATTAGTTTTATTTAAGCTTTAAATCAATAAATCTTCAAAACTACTTAACTGAAGTACATTGATTTTATATCATTATAAAGGGAATTGAAAGACCTTTAAAATAAGGTATCACTCGACCCCCCTTTCCATTTAATATTTTGGGGGTGGTGTCACCCCCGCTTAGGGGGCTTCACGGGCTAACTTGATTTTTTGTCAAACTTGTGTCCCCCTCGAAAATAAAATCGACGGGTCTGAGCATTTTTCAAAAAAAAACTGAGCTGCCAGTAAATGCGACTGTTTCGTTTTCGATGCGCCATCCTGTATGTCTTGCGTTGGCACGTTCATATATTGTGGTAAAAATGTATTCGATCTGTATTAAACAAAACTAGTCACCAAATATAGGCTTTGAGTGTTGGACCTGTGATATTCAACATAGGAATAATAGATATACTAGGAAGTAAAACTTTTGATTGCGGATCATCGGTCAAATAGGTCCGTACAAATGGTCTATAGGTATTCTTTCCGTGCGTTACCAGCAGTTACCGTCCATCTGGCAACGTTGCCCCTTCCCATATCACCGCAGTACGAGCAGAACAATCAAGTAAACCATTACATCATTAGCTAAGCCCAGCTAGAATAGAAATACACATATCCTAAACTTTTTTTCTATCATTCTAGGATCTAAATGTATGGGAAAAACTACCATGTGTAAAAGTATCGGGGTTGGGAGTGTATGAATATACTGACATCAAAAAATTCAGATATACTCTCCTCCACCTCCCACATCCCCTTTGACGATTTTTAAAAAATGATCAAGATCATCTAAATCGTCAAAAATCTATGTTAGCGATTTTTATTTGTTTCGTTTTCACCTTTCTATCCGCCTCCACTGGACTGATTTTCAAAAACTATGAAGCTGTATCGTCCTTATAATAGTAGTAACCTTATGTGCGTGTACTTTCCAAATTATACAGGAGCAAAGGATTATCGGACGGACCGACAGACAGACCTACAGATATGATTGACGTGTTTTTTTGTGATGTACATGGCATATCACATCCAAAAAACATATCTCTTTTTAGACAGTTTTCGCGATTACAATTCTTTCTCGCCCAGAAAGTAAAACATTTTATAAAAAAAAGTACACGTTTTTGTGTAAAACATACAATCCTCAAGATACATTATATATTTTACATTTCAAAATTCAAGGTTCATTAGCTGGAAATCACGGATGATGATAGGAAAGTTCACAAATACCAAGTAGCTATTACAAGCCGTTGACGGTGCTCACACTATGCTTCAGCTTCAAGGTCCCCGGTATCAATTTCCTATGTAGGTATAGAGTCAATCTACTTGACACTATCCCCAGTGGTCCTTCTTACTACATACTCAACCATAACAATCGTGTTGATTTACGAAGAATTAGCGGTAATGTTGTTTATAGTTCTTATGCTGGGAACATTGGCTTTTTTTTAAATGACATTAACCAGAAGGTATATATATATATATATATATATATATATATATCATAGTTGACTCATGGTATTAAGTCTACTTTTGATATTCATGCACCCCTAAAAATTGTGCGAGTCACGTTTGCTCTGTGGTTACCGCGAGATGTGAAATTTTTAATTAAGAGGAAAAAAAAGCACTTGCTCAATTTAGACGTGGTAAGTCAGTGGAGTCATGGAAATTTTACAAAAGATTACGGAACTACTCAAACTTAGGAAAAATTAGATTTGAAAAAAGAACAGAAAGATTCTGCAAGTTTTTATAAATTAATGCGTATACAAAAATCTAAAAATAGCGAGATTCCTCCCATCTCAAAGATCCTACAGAAATAAACAAATATTTTTGTTCTGTTTTTAACTGCAACATTCATATATTTTCAGAAATAATTATTTTTGCAGCAAAAGATTCAGTTCTTGTCCAATAAATTATATAGACTTGCGCTCAAAATGTTATTCCTCAAAATCCAATGCATTTGAAACTGACGGAGTATCCCTTGAAATGAAATTATGTTTTCGTCTAATTCCAGTACATATACTCGCATTACATATCATAAATAAATGCTTAGAAAAAAGGATATTTCCTAAAGCATGGAAAAGCATTTGCCTATAGTAAGTAATCCTAGCTCCTATACTTACCTGAGGCCTATCAGCATTTTGCCTATACTTTCCAAATTGTTAGAAACAGTATTTTTTGTGGAAACCGTAATGCTTTAAGGGAGACGGTTTCCGAGATATAATTTTTTTTTTGTTGAATTTCCTACAATGGCGCAGAACTATCGTAATAACTTTTTTGTTTGTCGAGATAATAACACAGGATAAATTCGACATGATTCTGCATAGCATACTGAATTAGACGAGATTCATGGTTTGTATGAAGCTTCTCCATAAAATGACTTATGACCTTCCAAAGTCGTAAAATAGCGCAGAATGTATTAACAATTTTAAACGCAAAATTCGATAATAAAAAACTATACCTCTGGTAATACTTAGTTTACTTGTTGAGAATAATGAAATTAGCAAGTGCCAAGCAGTACATAGATTAGGAATACCTCTTATGCAGGTGGATTTGAAGTTAATGATATCCGATGTCTGGATTACCATAATACGTCTTAGGATATTAATGACAACGGTTTACAACAATTGTACTATTTGGTTCAACAAGAAATTATTTTACTTAGCTGTGATTTAAAACGATGTATCATAAGTGTTCTAAACCGCTGCCATTAATATCTTGTGTTGTAATCTCGACAAACAAAAAAGTTATCACGATAGTTCTGCGCCATTGAAGGCTGTTAAACACTGCAATATTCAGTTTTCTGCAGATGACTCGCAGTTATACAATAATGGTGATACTGACAATATAATAATTGCTGAGGTTCAAATTACTGAAGACTATCTATCAACAAGTTTGCAAAAATTCATAATCTTAGATTAAATGCAGGAAAATCAAAATAACCTATTCTATATATTCTCTCCTAAGAAATGTAGAAATTAAATTGAGGAATATTCGACTATACCATTAAATGGTGAAATTATAAAAGTATGTGAAACTGTAAAAATCTAGGCATATCTCTTGATGAATGCCTGAATTTTATTCCTCATGTGAACAATGTACCAAAAAGTCGCTTTTTAGTACTTCGGCAATTATACTTGAACAAACAAATTCTTAATGACAAAGCTAAAGAAATTCTGTGTGAGTCATTAATTATTTTAAAAATTACATACTGCGACATTGTTTATCATCCATTTTTAGATGTAGTATCTGAAAAAACATGATCACCATACATCCTCGTTCATAAAATTGGAATGGTTATCTATTCCTAGTCTATTCAAATTTCTTTTACTATGCTATATTCATAAGCTTTTACTTACCTCAGTTCCCCCATTTTTGGAAGGTAAGTTGAAATTTCATAGTTCTATACCTTCACGACATATTCGGTTTATTGATACAATAACAATGGCTCCTCACAGAACTTCATTTTTTACTAAATGTTTTACTTATAATGATACTATCGTGTACAACGCTTGACCCTCTGATACTAAAGCTTTCATTTCGGGAATTTCAAAATTTTTTTAAGAATTTATCTCTTACTTCTGCTTATAATATAGGGTCATATCGGGAACAGTGGCTAAATTTTTTTTTGAAGGCTATAACATGAAAAATGTAAATCAATATGACATTTTCAGAAAATGTATAGGTAGCGTCTTTATTAAACTTTCTTTTGAGCTACACGTATTTGTTACAGCTGTTCCCCAAGAAGCATTAGATTATTTTTTTAAGTTTGTTATTGAGTCACGACGTAGAAAGGATATGTAGTATTCCATGTCGTCATTTCTTTCTTCGAGTACCTTTCCAATATACCAGAACTTATTTTTCTTTGGTGCAAACTGGGCCACTACAAATTCCCTTTCACGTGGTTGGCGCGGCAGAGGAATTTGTAGAATCTGTTCTGATATCGTAAGCAATCCTTTATCTTGCTCCGTTCTCTCCTGATCTCCATCTTCATTCTCTGCCCATCTGGCATGACTATCTGAGTCAGCTAAAGATATTTCGTCATCTTCGTCTTCATCATCACTTTGCGAGCTGTTTTCTTCCTTTTTGCTTCTTGTTTGTTCCTGATCGTAGCCTTTTTTTGTTCTAACTATTGTTTTTCTGAACTGTCTGTGGCAATAATACTGCGTCCAGCTATTCTACGTTTCCTACTTGTTTGTCTTGGTCCAGCTTTGATGGTATCCCTAAAGCTGAATGGGGATATAAAAGTTTTCTCACTTGAATTTTGGTGTGCCAAAGAATTACACAGATTTGATTCTTGTGCCTTCAAGCAAACATATGACATTAGAGCAGTTGTCAATTGAGTTGGAGCTATTAACCCCTCTAGTATAGCCTCTACAACAGGTGTTGCTGGTCTAATCAGGTTTTCTGTTTTGAGGAAGACGAACTGAAATCAGAGATGGTGGTTTTATGTTTTGGTACCACAGATGCTCCAGTGTACGACAATGAATGGTTTTGAGAACTGAGTGGATAACATTTGTGATGTGATGAACCAGCTTCACGAGACATGCAGTTTGGACAAGGGCGATCGGTCACAGTGCTCGGAAGAAAGTCTGTGAATAAATGCCTGTCAAACGGATATATGCCACATTTCGCAAAGGAGTTGGTAATACTTGTAGGAGTCATAACTTTTTGAAAGGTCATTCCTACTTCCCCCAAATCATAAATAGTAACTGGTTTCCCAGGATGTCTTAGTAGCCAAAAGTCAATGGCGGAATTTTAATAAATTTTGAATGGATTGTAAATTCCCACAACAAGTGGTTGAAGTTTGCCCGATGTATTAGGATGTATGGTAAGTATGTGAACTCCTGACTTTTTTGCTAACTCTAACGCCTCGATACATAAACGCGACTCATGATTGTCCATGATTAAGATATATGGATTTTCTTTACTAGCGTTAGCGTGCTTAATAAAGTGATTAATTACTTTTGAAAAAAATGTTGGGTTCATCCATCCTGTAGGCGTTGCCAACCCAAGTGTACCAGGAGGCGTATTTTTTATCGCATGTTCTTTGAAATTCTTCCTTGGGAAAACCATTACTGGAGGTGAGGTATTCCCACTTGCACTTATAATGCAGCAAGTGGTTACTAGTGTGCCTTTTTCTCCACTTGTCACCTTTGCTATTGCTTTCTTTCCTATAGGCGCTATTATCTTTTGAGGTTTATGTACCGTCGTGGTTGATGTCTCATCAAGATTGAAGATTCGGGTTCCATCTGCGAAAACAGGATTTCGAATTGTCATAGAATTTTTCAACGTTGCTTCGACTGAAGGCTGTGCTTCTAGCAAGGCTACATGGTTCCGGTTTTCTTAACGTAAAGTTATGTCTTCTTCTAAAGGAAATTAACCAGTCTTTGCCGGCCATTTGATTTATCTCCCACGATTCAGGCATTTTCAAGCCATAAAATAATAGAGCACAATGTGTAAAATATTCTTTTAGGGACTGTTCTTGCTCAGCAGTGAAAATTTTTTAACTGAGTAATTTGGTTCCAGTCTTTGATCCTAAGCCTTTGTTTTCTTGTAATATCTTTTTAGAGTTGTAAATGGTACTCCACCATTCTTAGCAGCTTTTCTTATCGACATGCCTTATCTAATTAAGTTAAGCCCACGTCGTACTTCATCTGCAGAATGACGGCCAATCTTCCGTGCAGTTTTCTGACGGCGTGGCATTCTATTGAGAAAGAAGAAGTATCAAATAATGTTGAATGCTTATTTTTAGTTTATCGATATATTTGAATAGAAACATAACGTTAAATAATAATAATAATAGTAGCCTTTATTTAACCTGGCGGGTGTCAGCTAAAAGCTGTTTTTCATACCAACTAGGGCCAAACAAAATTATAATACAAAATCTGGGAGACATAAACATTGTTGAGTAACAATAATGAAAAATCTATTATGCCAAGAATAGGCATTTTTTTAATTTAAAGAAAAAATCATATATAGTCACAGTTAACAGTTACACCATTACATAAGTTAAAAACTAAATAATATAAGGAATTATGACATATTTTCAAAAACAATTTTTTTTACTTTTGAGCTAAAAAGTGGAACAGATAAAACTTTAAAGCTGACAGGGAGCATATTATAGCGATTGGGTGCAACAAAAGAGAAACTCTTAGTAAATAGGGTGGTTCTATAATGGGGCGTGTTAAGGGTGTAACCAACGAAACGGAGGTTGGCTGCATGATGCTGACTTCTCAAGGATAACTTATTATTTAAGTATATAGGGTATTTGGTCAATAAAATGCTATGAACCAAACATAAAATGTGAACCAACCACCTCTGCCTCATCTTCAACCAATTCACTTCTTGAATAAATGGAGACACTCGCTCCCTTCTTCGGATTCCAACAGAATATCTAATACAGCTGTTCTGCACTTTCTGAAGTCTGTAAGCTTCGGCTTCAGTCAAACAAGGACCAAACACGGAACTTCCATATTCTAACTTACTTAAAATGACTGAATCGCAAAGCTTAATTTTAGTATCTTGAGCCAACACGTGCTTAAAACTGTAGATGCTTTTTAGTTTAGCAAAAGAGCTCTGTACAACCTTAGAAATATGATCATGAAGAGATTACTCCTAAGTTTAATACCGATATTTTGTGTGTGAGCTCTTCACTATTGAGGCATAGCTTTATAGCATCTCCACTGAACTCGTTCTTCTTAGAGCGGAAGGTAATTATGGCCGATTTGCTACAGTTGATGTGTAACCCGTGGTATCTAAACCAATCACAAACGCCGCTTAAATCTGCTGCTAGTTTTTCATTAGCAGCAACACATGAGGAGGGATCATAGGATAGATAAAGCTGGGTATCATCAGCATAAGAATGTAAGGCGCAATGTTTGACCGACCGATCCAAGTCCGACACGTATAAAGTAAATAACATTGGTCCTAAAATGGAACCTTGCGGCACCCCCTTTACAATGACCCGATTGTCAGAATAGTCACTGCATATTTTAACTTGTTGAAGTCGATCTGATAGGTAATTGTCAAACCATGTAATCGAATTCTCAGAAAAACCAAGAAAGTGCAGCTTAGCCAATAACATTTTGTGGTTTAAACAGTCAAATGCCTTTCTTAAATCCAGCAGAACAGTTGTAGTTACGCAGGAATTATCTATAGCTCTCAAGTAGTCATCACAAATGTCAACTAATGCAGTCACAGTACTATGATTTTTTCTAAATCCCGACTGTGTATTTGGAATTAAGCTGTATTTATTGATGTGTGTTAGCATTTGCTCGTAAACGATCTTTTCTAGAATTTTTGACAAGAGTGAAAGTATGCTTATAGGCCTGAAATCGCAAGGCAATTGGGGATTATCGATTTTACCAACGGGAATAACAGTTGCGGCTTTCCATATGAGTGGTACGATACCATGTTCCAAAGAAAAGTTTATAATATGAGTAAGAGCCTTGAGGCAAAAAGGAAGAATATAGGAAAATGTATCTATATTTAATCCATCTAGTCCGGTAGCACGCGAGTTTATTTTTTGAAAGGTCTTCAAGACTTTTTCCTCGGTAACAAACTTAAACTGAAATAGGTCATTGATATTTGGTAGCATGTTGGTGTTGTAGTACTCTAAGAGTGTTTCATTTATTGAGTTATCGGGAACTGAATCCACAAAACAGTTATTTAATATGTTGGGTTCCAAAGTACACTGATTATTTTTACCCTTAGAACCATGAATCCCTAGCTCCTTTATAGCTTTCCACCAGCTCCGAGAACTGTTGCTTTTTCTTAGCAGGTATTCAATATATGCTTTTTTTTCGCGCCTAATAGATGCTGTTACTAGATTCCTTAATTGCTTATAGTAGTTCCATTTGGCAGTTTTTATCTCGTCAGAAAAATTGTTCTTAACAGTTTTCTTATACTTAGAATAGGCATTATTGCGTAACCGCATCATGAATTTAATATTGTGTGTAATCCAGGGACAACGTGCTTTTGATATCTTCCTGGTTTTGATTGGTGCGCATATATTTAGCAGATCATCAATAAGGCTGTAAAAATGTTGCAGTTTTGATTCAATGTCATCATAGTCGATAACACCTAGCCAGTGCATATTAGACGCTACCTCATTCAAAAGAGACTCATCAATATTCCTTAAATCACGGGTCTGTACATATTTTGTATCTCTAACAGCTGGTTCACATTCCACACAAAAATAAACTAGATAGTGATCGGACACTGCAGGAAGATTCACAACTCCTTTATTAGCAATCTTAACTTCATCATTAACGAAAACGACATCTATTAAGGTACTACTGTTATTCGTGACCCTGGTTTCATGGTCAACTATTTGATGCAGATTCAAATCTTCAAAAATGTTAGAGACAAAGACACATTCAGGACTACTACAATCAAAGAAGTTAATATTCAAGTCGCCCATGCATACTAAACCCTCTGATGTTGGAAATAGGACAGAGTTCTATAGCTGACACTGGGGGTTTATAAACTACTCCAACAGTGTACTTTTTTTTGTTTACAGATATATTTACCCAAAGCTGTTCAAAACCACTGTTCACCTCTGCATGCAAGTTCTCCAGCATTGAGCATCGTAAGCCAACTCTGACATATAAGGCAATACCCCCGCCTCGCCTATCAACCCTGTCATGCCTAAAAAGCTGGTATCCCGCAATTTGTACATTACTTTCAAAAACGTCTGGTTTGAGCCAAGTTTCTGTGAAACCAACTATGTCAAAGTTTTGAGTGAGAACATAGTCCCTCACATCATGAAAAGCGCAAATTAGCGACCTAACATTGAGGCACCCTATCATTATACATATTATGCTCCTCATTACGAATGACATCAAATTCACATAACAGAGACATAATGAAAGAAAATATAAGGATATAAAAACAAACAACAAAAAATAAAAAAGAGTATGAGATAAAAAGATTAAAAAAGATGGATAAAAAATGTGTTGTATGGAATAAAATAGAAATAAATAATATACGTTAATAAAATAAGCCAAAGGATGTACTAGGAGTAGTTTGTTTTACTCCTGATAAACTTTTCAATTTTTTGTAGACACGCACACTTGTTATCCCATACAGAGTGACAGGTATCATAGTTTTTACCAAGTTTATTATTGGCATTTATGCAATTTATACAACACATGGAGTCATCATTCCTACATTGACTTTTTTCGTGTTTACCAGAGCAAGCTGGACAAATAGTCTGATTATTACAATTTTTTTGTATGTGCAAAACTGGCACAATCACACACCGAATTCACAGAGCGCGATGTAGTCCTTTTCGTCTCTCCCGAATTACTCATGATGATAGGCACAACGTGACAACAGAGGACCGGATTCTTGCCAAATTCCAAGAGTAATAAAACTGGATCAAACTGCTTGTTTATGTTCAAAGAATCGGTGAAAAGTCCGGATTTTTACATAGTGGGATTGAGAAGCCCTTAAATAGCCATACGTGGAAGTTTCCGATTTTTCTAAACACTTTTTCCCCGAAAATTCACATAAACTCTGGCAAAATTTTCACGCGTATCTCTTCGCCGTGATGCCAAGATCCAAACTATGGATAAACTATTGATAGTTTATACTAACTTTGTAGCGAAAGCAGTAAAAGCTATAATTCCTGTTCTATTTATTTTTGACTAGAAGTGCAAGAAACTTACCTCAAAGAATTGTTTTTGCTGCAACTAAACAAATAACCCTACTTGATCCTATGCATTTGCATCATTCTATATATCTAATTTTTAGTGATATACAGTATGGTTATTTTTATTGT